TGTATTGACGATGACATCCCAAATGTTTTAAAATGAATAAAAATACTTCTCTTCGGAAATGCTTTGATAACATATTTATCATGATTTACTGGGAACAAATTCCGCAACATTTTTATTAAAAGAGGTACTCTGATTTTTATAAAGCATAAACAAAATTGGTCTTTTTTGGCCGTGAAAATTGGGATGTCACAGTAAGCCCGAAGATTAGTGAGTTCCCCCAAAATACCAACGCCATACAAACCAAAACAATATCATAACAAACAACATGCATATAGAGTCTTCAGAATGATCGGACCGCCCTCACCGGGCCTTCGGTCTATCTGGCCCACTCTCAGAGTCTTCAGTATGACTGGACTGCCCTCGTCGGGCCTTCAGTCTATCTGGACCACTCTCAGAACCTTCAACATGTCTGGTCCGCCTTCCCGGGCCTTCAGCCTATCTGGACCATTCTACGGGCCTTCGGCCTGACTAGTACGCCCTGATGGGTCTGTAGTCTATTCGGGCCGCCCTGGGTATGTTGGCCTAGAGCACAAAGTAGGACCGCCTTAACCTACCCACAAGCACACAATCAACACATAAATATCATACGCTAATCATAGCATCATCCTATATACCAGGATACCGATCTAACAAATCACTAAACATAGCATCATCCTATAACCAGGATACTGATCTAACAGATCACTAAACATAACATCATCCTATAACCAGGATATAATCCAAAAATGGTCGGCTTTGGTGCCTTAGACGATATAGTGAGAAGAACTCACCTCACAATGCCGAACTGTACTGAAATCTCCGACTGCTGATTCACCGAGAATCCCGAACTAAAACAATAAACGAACACTAAGTCAAAAATTGAATACCAATCTTGGCTAAGGGTCCAACATGTGTTAATATTCCATTCTATCCTTTCCTTAAGTTGGACAAAGGCCCAACTCCAATTCCTTAGCCCAAAAGCCCAATATACAAGGCCCATAATTTGCCCAATTTCCAAATTGGGCCCAACTCTCTAATTGAGCCTCATCCTAAGGTCCAATTCCATACAAGACACTACTATTCAGAAAGCCCAAAAAGGGTTCAAACCAACTAGCCCAAAGATGGCCCAATCCCGAAGCCCAAATCACAAAAGCCCAACAGAAGACGTACGTTGGGCGTACGCGAGCCTCGCGTTTACTGGAAAGCGAGGATGTTGACTGCGTACGCGGGGCGTACTGCCCTCTACGCGGGGCATACCCTCGTTGAGTCCAAAACCCTAATAAGTGCTTAATGACTTAAGCACTTAAGCCCATATTCCAGATCCATCGACCAAATGTGTCTTAGAACCATAAAGTCTCAAACTTTAAGGCTTTGGACGTCCATAAAGTTCTTAATGCAAGGTCTTAATCCATTAAGACCTCTCTACCACTTGCATGAGACACTTCTAGCCATTGGGACCTCATTTTTATCACTTAAAACCCTTGATGGGGTCTAAAAGGACAACTTAACACGTTCAAAACCCAACATGCACAATATTGGGACTTTTTGGGACAAGAAAGGTCTCATAAAGCTAATAAGGCAAGATCTACATCATTTAAGCACAAAGGCAAAAGCTTTTTACCTCCTGGAGCTTCTAGAGGACAAGATAACCTCAGATATTCAAGCTTGCCTTCCTTCTCCAACTCCTTGATGCAACTCTTTCTTCTTCAACCACTTAAAACACACACTTTTAGCTCATACACTCAAGAAAGGGGTTAGGGTTTGGGGAAAATGGCTCAAGACTATGGAGGCTGGAATGATAGAGGGTTATGAGCTCATAAGGATGTTTATATACCACCCAAACCCTAAATATTAGGGTTTCCATCTGACGTGAGTACGCCCAGCGTACACAAGTGTACGCCCAACGTACTAAGGCACGCCTAGTACGCTCAACGTACCCTTATGTACGCGCAACGTACTCCTCTTGATCCAAAACTACAATACTAGCCATTAGGGCATCTCATGGCTATACCCTTCCATCCCCAAGGACTAAAAGTGACAAAATAATAATGAATGGAGGCTTCGAAAGTACCTGCAAATTTCGGGATGTTACAGTAAAGTTATGCCACTATTTTTGTAGATAACTTCTGATAAAAAGCAATACATAAAAGATCCATGCCCACGCTGAAAAAGATCTACGCATAAAATCTCTATATACAAAACATTAACATGCGATGAATAATAAAGTGATGTGTATCTCAATAAAGAAATTGATAAACTCAATAAATCTGCACTTGAAATGATGTGTATCTCAATAAAGAAATTGATAAACTCAATAAATATGCACTTGAGGGGCAAAGGTCACCAAGTAAAACATGGATAAATACACAATTAGTGTAAGAAGATACAAGAAGTGGGCCAAAATCATATACTAACTACATGTGCTGAAAGTAGATAGGAATACCAGAGTAAGTAGGTGAAAAAAAAAACCTACACACACTAATTTTACCGTTACTCTTTTCTAAGTATCCACATTCTCCTGTTAGATATCATAGTAAAGACTAAATCCTTAAAGTTCAGCCTCAAGCTATCTTTTCACTTCCTTTACGGCCGACCTCTCCTCCTAGCGCCTCGACTTAGCCCCTCGACTGTAATCAACATTAGTCTCCCTAATTCCTCCCCTTAATTTCTCAGTGATTGATGTCACACCCAACGAATTACTAATTGTTGTGTTGAGTATCATATCCAACGACTTACCACATGCCCACCTCAACATTTTTAGTTTTGTGACCTCCAATTCATGTTCTTTCTTAATCAGCCAACATTAACATTCATACAACAAAGTTGACATTGTTACCGCTCTATAAAAGGTTCCCTTTAGTTCTAGTGGCACCTTCTTGTCACATAAAACTCTTCTCGTTGCCCTTTACTTTAATCATCATGCCTTTGTGTACGGTGTGTAACTGTCATCACCAACACCTCTTTTCTTATGGATCATATATCATATGTACTTGAAACTTTCATTTCAGTCATTTGGGAAACATGCTCATCGACGTCTTTTACTATTTTGCTCATTGCTAATTTGTCTTTTACTATTTTGCTCATTGCTAAAATTACACAATAGATATTCTGCATTATCATTGCTAAACACCCTTATAGTACGTGATTATAGCAATTCAATCCCAAGCCATTAATGTTGTACGCAAAGAATATTGTTATCCAGTTGACTAAAATCATGGACTTTAGTCCGAGTCACAATGTTATGCACACCAAATGCATTTACAACATAGCGTTTCCATATAGATAATCACTATACCTCATAACAACTTCACAATGAATTAGGCTGTTTCAGGATGATTTAGGCTATCTTCAGATAGAGTTGAATGTATCAACAAAGAAGGAAATTCAAATGAAATACCAAGTAAAACAACACATGTTGTATAATCCGAATGAAATACCAATTCTAAAAAAACAACTCCTGTTTTTAAACTCAAAAAAAAAAAAAATCCATTAATCAATCTTCGTCATCAATGATCTTGGTTCCAAGACCCTTGAGCCCTTCAGCTGGGATCTCTGCAACAGTGACGAGAGAGTAAAGTTCTTCCTTGGCATCTTCATCATCATTCCTTTTGCGTGCAATACGCACTCTAACTCTTCTTGGAACGCTTCTGATTCCTCTGCTCCACACGTACTTGTTTAGCTTCACATCTATTCTCACATCTGTTGTCCCCATTGATTTCTGTGTAAATTTCCTGATTTCTTTAATGGCGTTGGGAGCCTTCTTCTTGAATGTGCTGTCAGTATTTGATCATGTAAACATCAAATGTTGCATTTGTGTATGATTGTTCGTCTTTTACTTAATCAATCACATTTTAAATCGATGGAATCAAGCATCTGAATATGGAAAACAGATGAATCGAAAACACGTACCATCCATGGAGGCGTTTGTGGAGGTTGATAGTGTACTCCCTGGTTACCACCTCTTCCTTCCTACCTTTAGTCTTCTCCACCATTGTTAATCTCTCTCAAACCTTATCTTCACCTGCACATAACATTTTTCAATGCGATTTCCATAAAAATACATCGTAAAACTACAATTACATACGAAAAGATAATCTACGCTGGTAGCATTGAGAACTATAGACGTATAGGTGTGACTGCGTGTGTAAAAGAGATGGAACGCACCTAGGGTTTGAGATTTGGAACCAAAATCAAAAATGGTTGTAGCGAGAGAAATTGAGAAGAATATAAAACCCAACCTTGTATAGTTAGGATTCGAATACCCGAATTTTCTCTTCGATGGGCTTCAACCTAATTTGTTCGGCCTAACAGGCAAAAATTACTGCAGGGTAACAAACAATGGCTTCCTCAATTAGAGGTGCACATTCAAACTACTCTTTCTAAAGAGTAAATTAAGTAAATTACACGAATGGTACTTATGGTTCGGGGTAATTTGCGAGTTTGTTCATGACTTGTTTTTTTAACGGTTTTATTATTTGTTTTTGTTACGCGTTTGGTCCATACTGTTTGTTTTTGTTACGTACTTGGTCATTGTCTTACCTAAAAAGACTATTATTTAAATAGGAAAAAATGGTAGGGTAAGTAAGGTAAGGTGATAGGTGGGGTTGGAGTGTTTATTTAAATAAATTAAAAAATCAATGCCAAAATAATATTTTTAGATAAGACATGACCAAGCGCGTAACAAAAACAAACAGTAAAAACATTCCAAATTAAAATAATAAGTTAGGGACCAAACCATAGCACCATTCATGTAATTTACTCTTCTTCCAAAACTCTCCAAGGTTAAAAATGACGGTTTGTTTTTTTTTTCCAAAATCTCCCTAGTTTAAAAATGGAACAATTGGTTAGAAATATGTTTTAATAAAAATTTGAAAACAACTTTTTTTATTGTTTTTTCTTTTGTTACTGAACCCGTTTTTAACCGAAATTTTTTTTACCATATATTCCAAAAAATTCAACCAAATCCAGTTAGGTTTTAACCGAACCGGTGAAAACCAAACCATTTTTTTAACCAAAACCGGCTTTAATCAACCTTTGCGCTTCACGAATTTCACTCATATCTAAGACGAGACTCGAATCCTTAATAACATGGATTTCCTCACTTAATTGAAATAACTCAATAAGCTTAGAGCATCTCCGATTATACATGTCAGATATTAATAAAGGTTATATATAAATTAGTCATAAAAATGTGTTTTGTTACCAATTGTACACTGTAGATCAAATTGTGCTCACTTTTTTTTTAAAGAAACGTTTTTCCTTTAAATTTAATTTATTATTTTTTTTAGACAATTGAAAACTCTCATTAGAACAGCATTTTAATTGTCATCGTACAATGAGTGAGATGACAAACGGGCAACAAGCTGTGTCGTTAAGCCTTTTTGAATGGTAAAACTAATTCTTTTAAAGACTACATCCGAAGATCTAGGGGTATAACATTACTATGCATAATTCGTTGTACTCTTTTAAGAAGCTCTACCGCATCCGGTGCGAGGAAACCAATCGTATCAAATGCAAATGGTATGAACACGTGTTGATTTTCCATGCACGACTTCTCATGTTTGGTGACTTTGCCTGTAGCTGCTTTTAAAGCAGCATGTCCCGCCGTGAAACCCCCCGCCCTCAGGCCCACGAGAGGAGATACCCCTGTAAAATCCACACATGCGTGTTTCCCTCATGAATGTATATATTTTGGCATCTATATATTTATATATCTATATTAATAGATTATAATAGATGACATTTTTCTTATTCCATGTACATATCAAACTCCCATGCATCTGCAACTCACTTTTAACTACTACAAATCAATAGACTTTTCAAATAATTTGTTAAATTAATGTGACATATGTACAAAAAGTATTGTTAATGTAAAAAATATTCTATTTTACTTATCTTGGAATGAGAGCTTTTTATTTTGAGTTGAAATTCCAATATCGATTGAAGCATAAGTGGTGTAAGAATGCATGATGGGAACAAAATCATTATTCCTTGAATCATATATCGTAATGAACATTTTTTGTACCAAATAACAACCAACTTCAGAAAATAAGGTTACTAACTTCCTAATAATTTTGTTTATAGTTTATGTTTTTTTCAATTACTTTCTATTTTAAGTTTTATACTATACTTGAGCTGACAGAAATAAATCACCACCTCGAATCATAGTAAACTCTTCATCTAAGATTATGATTTCGTACTTCCTTAAATTCAACACTCATTGGGGATTTCGATTTATTGTGAAGAAATCCTATCAAATCTTCCAAGACATAAAACCTGGATTTGACAATCAGAAACTAAAAATAAGATAATCGACAGAATATGATTTTGGTTTTAAAGCTTGCATTCGATTGTTGTAAGGAAAGTACAAGAAAATGATCTAGCTCTAAATCTACTAAATTTAACTCTCAACTCACAATTCTCCTCAAACTAAATCTTTAAATACAACCTACAAATGACTTAAACAAGACTATACATGTAGATGTGCATATAAGTCAAATGAAATATCATTCACATTATAAAAAGGAACATTCTAAGCCTCTTTGTCATCTCCCATGAAAAGCTTTTCGCCCTAACATTTTCTCCTTCAGATCTTAGTTGTAAAGCTTGCATTCGATTATTGTAGGGAAAATAGGGGTGTATATGGGGTGGTTTGGTTCGGTTTTTATCTAAAATCGAACCATAATCATTATAAGTGGTTAATGCATTTTCGAGCCATTGGTATTAGTTAATATTGGTTTTGGTTAACGTTTTTTTTTCGGTTAATGGTTATGGTTAATGGTTAATATTGGTTAATCATAATGTAACGCTCGTAGATCCGGGCTAGTCAATTTAGAGACAATGAACATCAAAAATGAGTTTTTGATGGAACAATATTTAGAAGGAGTAATCTTAACCAAATTGTAGAAGATTTCACAATGGTTCCGTACATATAAAGAATGCCGAAATCCAAGTTATAACGAAGAAGTTATGACACGTCGAAGTTTCGCGACGGAACCGGCTCGGCACCGGGAAGACGTAAATAGTGAATTTACGATAGAGGACTTTTTAGCCCTAGTGGTCCAAACAAAAGTTGTATTATACGTTAAACCGAGAACATACAAAAAAATAACGTCCAAATCTGACTTCGTATGAGGAAGTTATGAATTTTCTAAGATTTGACATAGCAGTGCACTGCCCGAAACTCGAATTTTAGATCGAGCGGTTTTTGGCCTACGCGACCTAAATGAGAGTTGAAGATCTCATTAATAGGAACTCAACGGTAAAAAGACAGACGAAAACGGAGTCCGTATGTAGAAGTTATGAATTTTACGCGGACATTTAACAGTATAATTTTCTTGTACTGTTAAATTTAAGATCGGTCGAGAATTAGCCGAAGGAGTCTAAATGAAAGTTGTAGACTTTTTTTTGCCTAGCGTGGATATAAAGAACGTCGAAAACGGAGCTCGTATGCGAGAGTTATGATTTTTCTAAGTCGGAAGGGTGTTGTGCGAGTTTTGGTGACGCGACGCGATCACAGCCGTTGCTTCCAACCCAAGGCTAGCCACCAGATGGTGACACATGGCACATTACGCCCAGCGTAATTTTGAGTACGCTCAGCAAAACCCTTAAAAACCCATTACGCTCAACGTAATTTTTGAGTACGCTCAGCGTACTCGGCGCTGACAGCCTATAAATAGAGGCGCAAATCTCCCATTTTCTTCACAACTCTCCACTTCTTTCCTCCCAAATACCCACAAACCTTCAAGGTTTTTCCCTAGCACCTCCAAGGTGTTAGAAGCAAGTCTCGGAGCACCGAGAAGCTCCGAGAAGAAGAGCTTTCGGCTCAGAACCGCTGCTCCAAGCAAAGCCCAATTTTCTATAAAACATGTTGTAAGTGAGCTACGCCTACGCTATTTTTAATATAGCTTTTAATTAATTATAGTAACGTTATTAGGACCTTATAATAATTATTTGGGCTATTATTATGAGTTATATACGTGTCATTATAATATCTTTTTAACCACCCGCGGTACGGGGAATCAGTTTAAAGGGTCGCATAGGGTATTGATACTAGGTTAACGTTGGACTAAACCCTAGTGGTATTGATACTAGGTTTTGTCAAGGGGAAATTATTTTGAGATAACGAAACGTTGTCTGAGTTTGGAATCACCACCTTAACAAGTGAGTGCATAGTTACTTTCATCTTACACATAAATATGAAGTATTTTATATAAATTACATGCTACGTGTGCATATTATCTGTATACTTGCTATCTATGCTGGATGAACGATTTTATACATGTTTTAAATGATTTAAACTGTATATGTATTTTATATCTACAAATTGTGTTGGGTAAAGCATGGGTAGATGTAATAGTTTCTGTGTGACAAATTAAAATAATGACAGGCCTCGTTATAGATGTTATTGATGATCCAGTCATCTAGTGGAGTATAGGTGACGACCACGGACTATTCTAGACAGTCCAGTGGAACGCTAGCAGGCTCGCAACATGTAGGTGTTTATTTGAACTGTGTGCTCACCAGCAGTACTCCATCCCCCACATGGTTGCCTTATTTGACATGAATTGCTAAGGAACCCCCGAAGCATGTGTTTTCACCCCGATGAAATTCCTTAGACTAGGTTCCTTGTGTTAGATGTTTTAGGGACGTAAAGTGAGGATAACGGGAAGGGGTAATCGGGTTTGATTGGTTTGATAAAGTTAATAAACTTATTTATTGTGGGTTGAAAACCCTATGTGCTCACCAGGCTCCCAAGCCTGACCCACTCAGTTTATTTGAATCACAGGTGTCGATATGAAGTTAAATTACACTGAGAGATTCAGAAGATATAAATCAGTAGTGATTGTGAATGTAAGTACTGTTTATGCTTATGTTTCTGTATTGACGATGACATCTCAAATGTTTTAAAATGGATAAAAATACATTTCTTCGGAAATGCTTTGATAACGTATTTATCATGTTTTCTGCGAACAAATTCCGCAACATTTCTATTAAAAGAGGTACTCTGATTTTTATAAAGCATAAACAAAAATCGGTCTTTTCTGGCTGTGGAAATGGGGATGTCACGCATAATGATAAAAATGAGATAAAAATAAAAACACTTTGTTATAAAAAATGAAAAACATAGTGTACATTATTATAAAAAAGTGAACAATTTAGTGTTTATAACCTTATTGATATGATAGAAGATTAGGTATCTCATTTAATTTTCATCTTCATATTCTAATAAAAGAATAAGTTTATTCTCCTTTTTCCATTTGTCCTGGTAGGCTTCCTAATTAATGTTATGCCACTTGTCAACCTATTGATTGTCCATTTCAAAATTCAAATTTTAAATTTGTCAATCTAATTACATTAAATTCAAAATTAAATTAATATATATTATAATGTGATGTAATTTCACGTATTTATTTAAATAAATGATTATAATTTTATATAACTAAAAAAATTATCTAATAGTTAATAATTTATTTAAAATAATTGATTAATAATTTTGAGTTTTTACTATGAAAGTTTAATTTTCTAACCGTGATTCCCACGGGTTATAAACTAGTTTCAAATAGTTATCTTTTAAATTTTCAATCCCAAAAGTGACTACATACCACATTTAATATTATATTATATTAAAACATTTATTAATATTATTGATTCAGTTCGGTTTTTAGTGATTCGGTTTTGGATGAAAACCATAACGGAACCATATGTATTTGGTTAATCAAAAATAGAAACTGCACCACCTTTTTTAGTAATGGTTCGGTTATTTCGGTTAATTTGGTTTTGGTTAGGTTTTTCAGTTAATATGTTCACCTTTAAAGGAAAGTATAAAAAATGATTTAGATCTAAATCTACTAAATTTAACCCTCAATTCAAAACTCTCCTTGAACTAAATCTTTAAATACAACCTACACTGAAAAAAACAAGACTATATATGTAGATGTGCATATAAGTCAAATTAAACATCATTCATTTGATAAAAACAAACATTCCAATCCTCTTTTGTCATCTCCCATGAAAAACTTTTCACCCCAACATTCTCTCATTCAAATCCTGGGATATATGAATCTTCCATAATCAAGGCTCTAAGTTTCGAACAAGCAACTAGCTAATATAAAGTCCGGACAAGAAAAAGGATATCAAAATGATCAAAAAACCTATAGTCTTCAAATCACTGCTTTGTCACTACGTTGTGGTGCACTCTTCACCACATCGTGGTGAGGTTGGAAACAACCATTCCATTTCTTTTGTAATGTTATTCAACATCAAACTTACATCTATCAATTCCATTTCGTTTACAATTAAAATAACATATTCTTACAACTTCAAAACATAAGATGAACGCATATAATACATATAATATCATTCTACAAATTCAAATATCACCAAATTGACCAAAATGCCCTTCACATCAAAATAACATTCTACATCATAAATGTTCAAAAATCTCAGTTCTTACACCTCTTGTGTGAAATTTCACTCCCCAACCAATAGACATATATATGAAGGCTCAAACACACAATTAACCATTCTTTTTGAATGGTTCATTACTTTCCTACCCTAGTTAGACCGTCTCCAACCCATAACATTATTGTTTACACTAAAACCAATATTTATAGTGTAAAAGATATTGTTAACACTAAACATCTCCAAACCATTACATAGATCTTGCAAACGTGTCGTGTCGTATCGAGTTTGTGTCGTGTCAAATCAATAAACGAGTTGAGAGAGCTTGACCCTAACCCGCCCATTTAATTAACTCGTGTCAACACGTTTATTTTCGTGTCGAGTTCGGGTTAGGGGTATACCTTAAAATGTGTTGTGGCATGTGAGGTTGAAACATTAAACATGTTGAAAGAGTATGAGTTGGATAGGTGAAAATGAAATGTAATAGTTGGGAGGTGGAATGGCTAAAATTATAATACGTTTAGAGAGCAAAACAGAATGAACATGAGTTGGAATGAGATAGAGGGAATGGTTGAGGGGATTGTGTAATTTTGACGATAACAAAAAAACTGAAAATGAAAGTCTTGACTAAGACGGCTAAGTGTATTTCACGTTACAAAACAAGTCAACCCAAAAGTTTTCTTTTACGTATTGTTTTGGTTTTTTGTCTTTCTAGTTTATTTAAAATATTCATAAAGCTTACATATAAGTGGTTCATTTTCAAGTCATATTCAAGTTGGAATTCTCAACCCTAACTTTACCCTTTTTTTGTCGTATCGTGTTGTGTCAACCCGTTTAATTAAACAGACTGAAATATCTTATCCAAACCCGTTTATTTTGTGTCAGGTTTCGTATCATGTCAGTTTTTACTACCTCTACCATTACAAAATAATTAACAATAAAAAGAATATTCCAGATACATTCATATCTATATAGTTTATATAATTTTACAAAACAACTTATATTTATTAAGATTTTACAAATTAGATCCATAGTTTTTTTATCAATATAATATAAATTATATTATTAAAAATCTATAATCATAATTACTTATTCATGATTCATATATAAATATTTTTCGTATTATTGAAACAACCCGTTTTTATACGTATAAATAATATTTTATACATATTCAAACATATAAAGAATGTATTTACACTTTTATATAAATCTTGTATTGCATTTTAACTTATTAAATATAATAACATAAGTAAAAATATTAAACATAAATTATAATTATATTACATCCTCCCTAATAAATAAAGATCTTTTTGTCACATGTCACATTCTCATTTATTTTGCCACATGTAATTTTTGTGGTTATTTTAAATTAATTTTTATTCCACATGTCATTTTATGGTTTTTTCATTTTATTAAATTGTAGATAGTATTTATATTCAATAATAAATGCATATCAATTTCATTAATGAACTTTCCTTCTAATAAATTACCAAATTAAAAATTCATTAATTTTCTTTATTTATTTATCTAAATTATTTGTTTAAATTTAAAAGAGAAAAAAAAACACTTTAATTTTTATAATTCAATATTTTTTCACTTTTCTTATAAATTCAAACTTTTCAAATGTTTAGAATTTTGTATTTAGTTTTTTTTTTAAATAAAGTCATGTAATACATGAGTATCACACCTAGTTAGAAATAATCTAAGTTCAAACTTCTAAAACTAATATCTACTATGGAAATTTTAAAACTAAATATAATCCACATAAATATGTTTCATGTTATCACTATTTTATAGTTTAAGTTTATTATTGGGTTGAAATATTATAGTATAGATTTTAGTATAAGGGGCCGTAAAACGAACTAAGTTTGAGGAAAAATCAATTTCTATTTACAACTAAAACAAACCCAGAACAATTAAAAAAAAGAAAAAAAAATCTGATTTTATATGAAGAATAAAAAATCTGATTTATATCCATGTGAAATTGTGAATTCGTACATGGTCTTTAACCTGATTTATCTGACCCAACCCAAAGGACATACGAGCCCAATAAGCCCATGCACAGTGGCTCTACGGCTCTTCCAAATGTTCTTCGGAAATTTGATTGCTGTTTGAAGTCTGAACACCGATAAACCCTAAACCCCAAATCACTCACGATGAATGTACTACAGTTAAGCACAATACAACTCCCCCTTATCTTCAGTTCGACGTTCACCCAATTGAACCATATTAATTCATCTCCAAACCTTTTTACTTCCATTAAATTACGCTCTAGTCGCAAACCATGTAAATATTTGGTTAAAGCTGGTGAGAACCGACCACCGAAGTCCACGGATTTGCTGACACAAATTAGAGAACTCGAAGCAGAAGGTGAAGATGAAGACCATGATGATAATGATTTGATTGATATTGATTGGGATAAAGTGGAGGATGAATTTTCTCCAAAGGGCCCGTTTAAAGGAGAAGGAGAAGAAGGAATGGATTATGATAAGGATCCTGAATTTGCTGAAATTTTGGGAGATTCTCTTGACGATCCAGCTAAAGCAAGGTCTAAAGTAAGCAAAATTACAGCTTTAAATAGCTGGGAGGCTTGAATTTTCTAAGAAGATATTATCATTTACTGAGATTATTAAGATTATGTTCACGGGAAGCTCAATTTCGTTAAAATTTACTGCTTGCTATCTTGTTACAATGTTACTTTTGAAAAGATAAGCTTGACCAGAAATTTAACTCATTACATTACATCCTGTACAAATTAAAGTTTCTGTTTTTAGTTTGCAATTTCAGAACATTGAATTAAGAATGCATTAGTTTTCAAATGAGGATGTATACCAAGTGTTTGTTGAAATGTCAGATAGAAGAGAGGATGAAGAAGAAAAGGGACAAGATACTGCAGCGCAAAACCGGTTCAGCCACACCCATGAGAGTGACTTTTAATAAGTAAGGATCATAGAATGTCTGAATGTTTTTCTTTTTGACTTAATGGGGACATGACTTAATTCCATCCTGATATGAAGATGGGACCCACAAAATGGAGAATAAAAAATGCTCCAAGAACGTCTTCATGGTATCATTAAAATACTTTTAAGCATAGTTTTATGTTAATTTAATATTTTGAAGCAAACTATTTCAGATTTGACTTCAACAACTCGTATATTTGGATTGAGTTCTACCATGCTCCAATGGAGAAAGACATTAGGATGATTTGCGATGTAAGTTACTTTCTTTCACACAAAACCATTTAAATAATTAAAAAAAAATATCTGTATATATACAAGTAGGGCTGCAAAAAGAGGTGTAGAAATCGAAATATTTGATGTGTTGTAAATTGTAATTGCAGACGATTCGTTCATGGCATATTGTTGGACGCCTTGGTGGATGCAATTCTATGAATATGCAAGTAATAACTAAAAACTTCACATATTTCCTTTTTTAATTGATAATTTATTTAAATAAATAAATAAACATCAAACTGAGTTAAAATCCTGTCATTGTCATGTATGTTTCTTTTTTGCAGTTATCACAATCTATTACGGATAAAAGACCGAGTTATGATGATATTTTAGGAGCAAACATTGAACCCACGACATTTTATAATATTAGTGACCTTGAGATTCAAGACAATGTTGCACGTATATGGTAAAACCCTATACAAAAACATAAGCTTCACATTTTTTTACATTTTGTATATCTCCATGTTGGATTTCTTGAAACCTCTTAAATTGTTTCCCTTATTTAAAAAAAAAATGTATTGGTTCTTGATGTCATGATGAAATGTTGCAGGGTGGATATTGGTACAAGTGAGCCTTTGTTGTTGGACATATTGATAAATGCAATGACACAGATAAGCTCTGAGTAAGTTTAAAGATTCTATCTTCAATACTGTTTTAATGAATACATGTTCAAAGAAAATGATCCGAAATGTTTTAAGCTGGATTTTTTAGGTAATCGTTGATGTTTTTTTTTGTTTGTGGTATTATTATTTACAGCCATGTTGGAATCAAGCAGATGGTTTTTGGTGGATCTGAATTTGAAAACTGGAGTCCAAGTTTGACATCAGAGGATGAAGGTTATAGTGTACATAAAATCTAGTCAAACATTCATCATCTCATGTGTAATATTCACCATTTTGTTGTCATAATAATATAATATAATATCTTTAAGGGTTATCTTGTTTACTTTGGTAGAGAAAGGAAGAAATAGGATGATGTATGATTTACTTCACCAAGTAAAATGATATAGTTTCATTTATCTTTTTTTTTTCTGTATTTATATTTTTACTTCAACCATGCTTACAAATGTTTTAAAAAAAAAAAAAACCGATACTGATAGTAGGAATTGAGTATTAGTTATGTAGATTACCATCAAGTTCAAGGAGGTGTTCATGTTGGGATTGTTTATTTAAACATCGGTATTAAAGTATATAGTTTTGTCATTTTTTTTATATGCATTTTTATTTTATTTCATCAAAAACTAAATAATGCTTATTACAAACCACAATAAGCTAATATGAAAGAAATGATTTGCCATTAAGTTCATTCTTAGTCCCTTGTCTGATTAAGAAAGGATTTCATATTCTGAGAATTTAAGAGAATATTTTGTTTATAGGTTAACATTAAACTAAATAAATCCCAAACTCAACAGAGATTACAAAACAAAATAACAGATTAAGAAAATCATTCATTTTAATTAATTTCAAGAGCTCTTGACACATACTTTTTGAGCAACCAACTTTATAGCTTGAATCCTTTCATCAACCAGCTTCTGAAGCTGCTCTTCTTGTTTACTCAAATCCTGTTCCTCCATCTCCACCTCCTTCCCTTCACCACCATCACCACCACCTGTTGTCCTAAACATCACAAACGACACCTCCTCATCATACTCAGTCGGAACCTCAATCACCCGCTTCCCGGCCCCACCATTATCCTTCCCGATGACATCAGCCCTAATCCTGTCCAACACAACACTCCTAAAATTCTCCATATACTTCTCAACAGGATCCAGTTTCACATAAAGCAAAATCTCCCAACACTGTAGAAACTGTTTCTTGTTGATTTTGAGAGTTTTTCTCGCCTCTTCAATCACAGATGATGGCGGGGTGAATTTGGTAATTTGGGTCCGCTTTGTGAGATTTTCTTGCTTGAGACGCAAGGCAGCTGAGTCAAGTGACGGCTGGATTGCTTGGAGTGCAAGCAACCGTGGGATATCAACACATGATCTTACATGTTGTAATGAGTCAAGAGGCTCTTCGATCGAGAGGTCATACACGTTGTCTGAAACTGCCATGTTTGTGATTGCTTCAAACAAATGACCTCCGTACCCTTTGCGTTGATATGGAGGAAACACCAATATCTGTAATCGATGAATCCATTGAGAAAGGGTATTTTTGTAATTACTATATTAACAACATACCTGGCCAAGTCTTAACCTCTTGCTACCAGGGTAATGAAAAAACCGATAAAGAGCTGCGAAACCAAGAAGCTTCTGTGATTCATCACTTTTCTTTTCAACTAAAAGATAAACCTCCCAATCAGGATCAGTCACATCAATTGGATTGCTACCTGTTGTAATATAAAAAACAAATTAAAATAGAAAACTGGAGTTTAAAATTTAAATCTTCAATAAAAAAAAGAGAGAACATTATATAATTTAATAGTTGAGAGCAGATAAATATTACCATCAACAAGAAGAAGAACAAGTGGCACCAATCTACAATAAAGAAGGCCCATAGATGTGCCCTCAACATGAACAACCTGATAAAAAAAATAAACCAGTTAAATCAACAAGACTTCTAAAATGGAAAAAAGATAAAAGTGTAAAAATCACCTCAAGCTCAGAACAATCTTCTTTCAAAGTCCCATTTGATTCATTGTTATATGAAGATGGGAGAATTTGCTGAATTGTTTTTCCCTCTGAGATCATAGATCTGTAAATGGAAAATCATCAAGAATCAATAGAGAAATACATGTAACAAGATGCAATTTTTTGAGGGAAATGTTTTGGATCATACTTGATATAATTACTCTCTGTGGAAAATGTTTTGAGGAAGTCATCTTTTGTCTCAACAAGATTATCTGCAAAAATGTTCTGCAAGAAAAAAAAATTGAAAAGATTAGCATTGTGCAATCATTAAAAAAAGAACAAAGGGGAAAAAGTGAATACTCAATGATCACCTGAAGAGAAGAATTAAGATCTGTGATTCCTTTCCCAGCCTTTATGAGCAATACAATAACAACCATTAAAAAAGAAAAAGTCAGACTTACATGTAAATATGCAATTTAACATTTCAAATAAGGTTAAATGCAGAAAATAGGAATGTACTTTTATTTAGCTGTTTTTAAAGCATTGTACTTTTATTTGTACATTGAAAAATATGCCCAATTATAACAATAAAAGCTGCTTTAGAATTTATTGATATTGCTATACTTAGAAAATTTTTTCAAAATAAATTGTTGTATAATAAACAAACATATGAAAGTATGTTGTTGTTATTCTTGCATCTAACCCTTTCAAAAACTATATTATACAGCACATAAACTTACATCAGATGTGCTCTCGAAAGAAATATCTGCATATGCTTGAAATGATATGCTGCTAATCCAAATGGCGATCTGCATTGTTTAATGTTTATCACAAAGATTACACGGTGACTGATAAACTTTTACAAACAAAAGTACAGTTTTTTTACAACAGATGGATTCACAGGTTCAACAGGTTTTTTACAATACAAAGATTAAGGTTGATTAAAGATAATACCTTCAACCCTTGATAGCCGTATATTTTCCCATCTTCTTCAAAAAAGGGGCCTAGATCAACAGGTTCAACAGGGAAGCTTTCTGGTGAGCCCACTTCCTCTTGTCGAGAAACTGAAATTCATTTATTCAGAGACAAAATAACAAGATTTCATTAGGGCTACGAAGATATCATATAGAGTTGAAAGATATGAAAACATGTTTAAATCTTATACAGAAACAAGTATTGCATTAGCCCACATGTAGCTCTCAATTTACACATGATCTTACTCTTCCATCCATTACCAAATACATAACATAAAGTGATAAAACAAAACCATGAGATCAGGGGAACAATTTTAAAGCTGAAAACAACATTAATTTGCTAAATGAAAATTAGAGGAACTGTCTGTGCGTACTAAAAGCTAACCAATTTTGAGTACATTTCGAAGAAACCCTAGACGACACGCTCTAAAAAGCAACAAATATATGGAGGCAGAAAGATGTCGCTCAGCAAGCAGGCGAATCAGGAACTCGGTTCCAAAAAATGAACATAATTAAGTAATTATAGTGCTGTTAAGGATTTTTGATGCATACCCATGTAGATTTTGATGCAATCGTTAGGTTCAACCCCTTCATCTACATGAAAACAAAGTGAACGAAATCAGTGAAAACAGAGATGAATCGAAGTAATTAGCATGACAGAGAACCGGAAAACTTACCGACTTTGGAGAATCCGACCTTTCTACGCTTTTTGGGATCGGACACGGGATCGGAGGAGTGGTGCTTCGTCCCCATTTTTCGCAAATTAGGGTTTCGACGAGAAGCGGGAAATGTTTACAAACGCGGGAAATAGAAGAAATGCCTGTAGGCGACTGTGCGTGTGTGACTTTATATAGGACCACGAGGGCAGTAATTGAATCCTGTTTTATTACATATAAAAGTAAAATGAGGGGAATCGATATGTCGGGCGTTTGGTCTAGTGGTATGATTCTCGCTTTGGGTGCGAGAGGTTCCGAGTTCGATTCTCGGAACGCCCCTTCTTCAACAACACATTTCATAATCTAAAGTTTACTATGTTTTTTATGTTTTAACTTATTTACATAAAGTAGATTAGAGGTAATTGATGGAAAAAAAGAAAATAACCTCGTTTTATCTTATTAGTTTTTAATTTTTTTTGCTTATTTATGTATAATATTTGCAAACTTTTGTTCATTTCTACCATTTTGAAGGTTTACCCGGTCAAAGTCGGTCATCCTCAACCTCTTATTTAACCAATGTTTTAAAAATCGATTTGAATCGGATACCGGAGATGAGAGCGGTTCAACAGCGAGTGGTTTTATGCCAATTTTTTAGATCAAATCGAGTCGGACTGGTTTTCAAAACCGAGTTAAATCGGTTTTTAAAACAGTGAAGACAGTCTCAATATGGTGACGTTCTATTTTTGTTTATTTTAACAAAATGTCTCCTAATATGGTGTAAACTACTATTAAACATTAAACATTATTACATAACAAATTAACAAGCGAATAATACATATTACATAGATTAATCATAACAAACAAGCAAATAAATATATAAAACATATTACATATATAAACTCATAAATAATACATAAACTTACTAGTTGATTAATCAAAAATGATTAAATTTAAAATTTTGGAAAATCAGTTGGATATTTTGCATTTTCTTGAAGCACCCAATCGTTATTTTTTGTATGTTTTTTAGAACCTTTTTCATTTTAACCTCTTATTTGTTGGCGTACTCTATTGCATCTCATATCCAACCCCTTGTAGTTTTTATGTCGTGTTCTTTGTCTTGAACCGACCTCATATTAGACCAAATATCGGCTTATCAGTCATCCAACCGTTTCCTATCTTCTTCAATACCTTTAATCTCTCTCTTGATTTATTATTCTTTTATTAATAGTTGCAATCGCTTCTCTTGTGGCATCAACCACCATTGTTCTTGAGAGGTAAACATGATTGTATGTGCATGATGGTTATATAATAACGAGTAGTATACGATTTGTAAATCTCAGACCCATACATATAAGTCTCTATAAGTAATTAACAATTTATCTACTTTTTATAGGTTTTGACTATTGTCAAATAGCCTTTGACTACTATATTATGTGGTGTCATATCGTACAGTGATTTGCCAAGACATTATTGTAATTTGACTACATTTTTATAGGATTTGACTACTGTCTACTAGCCATCAACTACTACTTCATATGTAGTCTTATCGTACAGTGAATATTCGACACATGATTGTTATTTGACTACTTTTTTATAAGTTTTGACTAGTGTCTATTAGCGTTTGACTACTACTTTATGCGATTGACTAGTTTTTTATAAGTTTTGACTACTGTCGTCTAGTCGTTGACTATTATCTAATGTCATATATAATGTAAATGTGTTTTCAATTCATAAATCAACGAAACAATAAAAAAAAATTTGGATGGTGAAAATGACAGAAATATTAGAGGAGATGAAAAGGATCTCGGCAAAATTTAATTGGCCATCTACATCCACCAATAAGCCTCATGAGTCAATTGCCCATAACGCTTCAACCGATCCCCCTCCCAACGTCGATCTTCCTATATTAGGGGAGAAGATGGATGAGGAATTGAAAAAAGTAGGGGTGAGCAAAAACCAAACCGACTAAAAATAAATCGACAAAACCGCAACCAACAAACCGAAACCGATGCAAAAACCAATGGTGCGGATTTCATTTTGCAAAAACCGAAGGTCTACGGGTCGGTGCGGTTTTTACCAAGAAATCGGTCCATCAAAACCGAACCGCACCGAATATTTATAAAATAATAAATCACAAATTTATTTTTATATTCTATAATATATATACATATCTTTTAAAATACTAAGAAATATTAATACATATTATATTTGTACTTTGGACTTTGATAGTTGGTTTTAGCCATTAAATTGGGATTCCAAATCATTTTTCAAACTTATTTTCTATTTTGTTTTTATTTTTGTGGTTAAAGCCACAAGAGAGTAGGTCACTAATTAACTATGTGTTATAAGTTTTTAAAAAATAAACCAAAATTCAATTTTTTTCTTAGTCAACCGTTGTATATAAAGTCACTTACAACTTTTGATTTATATAATTTATTTCGGACTGATAATAAACTTCTACAAATAAACGGTTTTAAAAAGTAAAAAAAATTGCACCATACAAGCTTACATGCACATTGTTATCGTGTTTTTTTTAAAAAAAAATACACCAAAAAACATCAAAGACCACACCAAATTTTAGAATCGGTTTAAAACCGAAACCGCACCGATATAACCCGAAACCGCAAAACCGAACCATTGGAAAACCGCACCCAACGGTTTTAAGAATGCAAAAACCGCACCTTGCGGTTTGCGGTTCGGTTTGGCCTAAAAACCGCACCATGCTCACCCTTAGAAAAAAATGTTGTTACAAAGAGAAGCTGATGTGGATAAGGCTTATATGGATTTTGCTTTCCAACGAAACCTTCTAGACAACTATTGGGAAGACATTGACCGTAAAAGGAATTGGATCATAACGACTGGGCAAAAAATCTAATATACCGAGAGTTCGATCCGCTATGGTAAAGAAATTGTTCGAAATCTAAAGAATGAATTAACACTTCGTGGGTACAATTTGGAGAAAACAAAAAGGAAGTCAATATTATGAAAAAAGAGTATCCGTACGAGTTTCCGATGTGGGAAGAAGATGAGTAATATTTTAATAATGTGTTTGTTTGTTGAAGTAATTTTAAGGTAATATATCTCTATGTATGTCTTTTATTAGTGGTTGGTAGAAAAAAAATTGTAAGAGTTATCGGTTTACCTATGTTTAGTAATCTAATTATGTTAGTGTGAAGTAATTGTATTTTAATGAGTATTGTATTGTAGTTTAACAAATCTATAAGATTGGATTGTTGAATTAATTTATATAAGTAACATTGTCTTATACTCTTGTGACCCTTTATCCATAGGATGCAGTATTTGTATTTATTTCGAACAGTAAACTAGATACCTTTGATGTGTTTTTGTGTAAGATTTCACAGAATAACATGTACTATATGCGACCTATAAGAATCTATACTTGTCTATATAACAATCTTATAATATGACATTAGTTTGTATCATAAAAGATGGACCCTATTGTACCACTAACATGGAACACCCAAGAAGAAGGCATTTTGATACGTGCTTGGATTACCATCATAGAAGAAGCTTATCCACATGGTCCCCCACAATGTCGTATTGGTTCTTTTTGGAGGCGCGACTTTCACTTGTTTCATTATGAAATGGGTCGAGGTTATTACCGCACAAAAAAAGATGTAAAATTAAAAATGTTACAAATGAAATGACATGTGAAGCACTTTCATAGAATTCATAGCGAGATCGAAAATGCACGTCCGAATGAGGATGAACAAAGAATTTTACGGGCGGCTATGGAGCTATTTCGTTTGGAATCTAACGGTAGGGAGTTTGTCCATGTTGATTCTTGGAATGTTATGAAGAATCTACCTTATTTTTAATTATTTTTCTAATCTCGGATGAAGTGTGTTTTGTAGCTTAAAATGTATGGTAGGGAGCTTATCCATGTTAGAACTTCCCTTCCCTAAGTCTAATTTCTATCTGAAGTAATCAATATTTGATATTCCAGAATTCAGGTTTGTTTTATCAGTTACTCAACGCAATGTTCCTATCTGCCATTTTTTGACTTTTATTTATTTGTAAACATCATGTGTTGTACAGTCGAACAAAACCAGAAAAAAAAATAGATTACAACCTGTACACAACAGTACGGAAAAGATAGCACAACACATTACCATACATGGAAACATAATCCATTACAAATAATAACATACACTACATTTTACATAGATTAAATGATAAGTGCTACATAAAGTTAGCTGATGGACATTTATCTTACAACTTATAGACAACAACACCAAAAAAGAAAATCCAACTACAAAGTAATGCTATCTTAAAGTGTAGTATTTTTCTTTGAAGCTTCTTCTTCGATCGAGCTAGGTTACAGATTATCAACGAATTATTGTCGTTTGCTTCATCCACCCAACAAATAAACCCAAACTGTGGTGGCTGGTAAATAAATTTCTGCACTTGCAAGTCACCCTACAACTTCTGATTCACAACAATCCCTCACTAGACCGAGATATAAAGGTTCCCAAACCATCGTTGAGACTACCAGTCTCGCACCAGGTCCAACCACTAGGTTCCCAAGAGTCCGAATAACAAGGCTACCCAGCATGTAAACCCTTCCGCGTCGCACACTGACCCCCACTTAATCTTGTAACTCCATATCCAATACCTTGACCCAAGGGTCTCTACCAGGTCCCACCTACATTGCCATAACACACGAGCCTCGCCCATGGGTCCCACCCAAACTATACCATGGAGCGGCCTTGCGCATGGGTCTCATCCATCTAAAGCTACACAGGTCTGACTCCGCCTCGGACCCCAATGGTTTTCAACCTAAACAGAGAATACCCCACCCCGGGCAATCCTGACCGGCGTGCCCAAGGCACAAACTGATCCCCCCTTTGCGTTCATGACCACCTCCAACAATAGTCTACCTCAGACTGGTAAATGTTACGATCCCATCGCAGTCTTACAACACTTCTAACCAACCATATTTACCACCCCTGGTTTCACCACACCCAAACCATCTCACCCCCAAATATCCTGAATCGAAACCGTATTTGACTGAAATCAATAAGGTGTTCAGGTCATGCTTCGAACCCCAAAGCCTTCATCATACAAGAACATGCAGCGAGGCTCTAACACAACCCTCGACCTGGATCCATCCACAAACCTGCCATGCATAACAAAAAGACGTCG